TTGTAAGTGCCTATATGACTGTTAAACCTCATTTACACTGCTCTTCCTATCAGAGATTTAATATTTCACAATAGCTACAGTTAAATTCTAAACATCTCATTAGGTTTGTACATCTGCCTGCATGTTAGTCTAAAGAGGAGTCAGAAAGACAGTGAGCATTGCTTTCCTAATAGTGTGGGAGAGGAATCATGAAAAACCCCTCCTCCTTTCCACTCATACCCACGCCTTCTGGATTTTTATCTGTTAAAAGGTGTATAATGTTTCGGGATCCCAGCATACCATGGATATACAGATCAAAATTCCTAGGAAACCAGAAATAACCCACCTTATTTGAGGGGAGGGAATTTACCTTCCCCTAGGATTCTCTCCCCTCCTCCCAAATGTTCACCTGTGCCTTCTCTGTCACACTGTGGTCACTCAGGCCTGATTCCTCTTTGACCAGGACCTGCTTTTCTTGGTATGGTGGTCATAAATCAAATCACATGTACTTATGCTAGATTAAGACATCTTAATCATGCTTCATCTGACTGAAGAAATGTAAATATTCCAGACACTGACTTCTAGTGAAATCTAGAGACCCTACACTTTGTCAGTGGTGTTAAGGTTTAGAAGGTGCCTAGAAGCATACAGACCTTGGAACTTATTTTTGTGATAGTCCTTGGAGACTGCTCCTGTGATGTGTTAATAGTAATAATCGGGGTTAACTTTTATTGAACATTTACACATGTCTGGGACTATCATCAGCATTTTACAGCTTTTATTTTCTGTGTTGCGAAGTGCACCCTCTGGACTTTATTTCCATAGGCACAGGTAGGTGGTGCAAAGTTCAGAACCTTTATGTCTAGGAGCACAAGTGCATGCTGACCCCCTAACCCACTTCCACTGCCAACTTAATGATTAGGATTCAGCCTGAAAGATGGTAGTGACCACTGTGCTGGTCATGTACACATTCTGGTGGTGGTGATACTGCTGCATATTTTCTTTTTCTTTTTTTTTAGTATGAGAAACAGAGTTTATTCTTGTTTGATTAGAAGTAACCAAGTACAAAACAGGCATATTTTTTTCTGAGAAACTAAGTCCCTGAGCTGATAACCACTGCTGCATATTTTCAGTGAATCTTTGAATTAGAAGAGACCTTCGAGTCTTCTGCTGCTTGTTATATGCAAGGCACTATATTGTATGCTTAAGAACAGTTCCAGTCTCTAAGAGCTTACAGTCTGGAAATAAATAAAATAAATAAAATAAGTAAATAAAATAAATTCAAGAAGTTAGAGGTACAGACACACAGAGGAAAACAGGTTGAATTCCAGTGGTTAGAATTTGGATTCCCTTGAAGGCTACACAAAGTAAGATTTCTGTTGAATATTTTTAATGGTCATGTTATTCAGTTGAGGGATTAAAACTGTCTAAGAAAACTTAAGTTTCATTCTCAGTACTTTTCTTGAAAAGAGGATGATATTTTGCATAAGTAGAATAATAAACCTGAATCATAGAATGATGCAACAGATTGCCTTTCCTTTCACTGTGACTAGCAACCAGATTTTAGGGCAAAGAATAGATGTATGGATTGTGGTTTGAATTCAGTGGAGTATCTGACCTTCATATAAGTCACATTTTGTATGTTGGCCTTTATCACATTTTTTTAAAAAGGAAAGGAATATATTCTAAGTTATAAATGTACTCATAGGAGATTAATATATCAGATTATGAGATCTTTTCAAATTGGAATAACATATGTAGAACAGCAGTTCTCAATATATGGGAGTACATTGTTACTTCAGAGGGCGTGCCCTTAGTTGAGAATTCACTGTGCACATTGAAGAATATCATTCATGAGAATGGGCTACATATGTGAATGATAGAGAGGGAGAGCCACTGGTTATAGATCACTTATGCTGAGATTCTTTGGCCCTCCATCCACATGTGGATGTATGGAAGGCTTTTTGATTTCTGCAATACAATTTCATTTTGCCACCATTCACCTAATAAGTGTGCAGAGGAAATGGAGCTTCTCTAGCCACAGAGAAGACCAAGAGGATACTTGGCCCTTGCCAGTGGTCTCAGTTTTGAAGAGTCTGTACTACAGACTGTGAAAAATGTAGACAGTTGATATTCAGGATGCCCCCTCTAAAGGAAACATAAATGATTTATTCTTCTGTGTTTTTAAGCGGGATTCCTGGATCAGCTCAGATCATTAGAAAGCCATCTGTAGTTCAAGTTAGTTCCTCAGTAGGTTTTATCACACTTGTAAAAGTTTAATAAAATTTTAGTGGGTCAAGTGCTGTGGACACAAAAATAAATAAGACATGACTTTTTTCTTCAAGGAGGTTATAGTCTAGTTCAGTGATGGTGAACCTTTTGAGCTCGGCGTGTCAGCATTTTGAAAAACCCTAACTTAATTCTGGTGCCATGTCACATATAGAAATTTTTTGATATTTGCAACCATAGTAAAACAAAGATTTATATTTTTGATATTTATCTTATATATTTAAATGCCATTTAACAAAGAAAAATCAACCAAAAAATGAGTTCGCGTGTCACCTCTGACACGCATGTCATAGGTTTGCCATCACTGGTCTAGCTGAAGAAAAAGACCCATAAGTAGCTAATTTTAGCAAAATGTAGTAAATGCAGTGATAAGATATGAACAGGGTATAATATTAACTGACTAAAAGGAACTTAGTTTGGCTTGGCTTTTTCATTCTTGGCTTTGGCTCCCAGCATGTACTAGATGTAGGCACTTGGCACAGACTGGTACCTGCTAATGCCGAGCCCAGCTCCTTTAGAAATGTGGTAGGGAAAACTATACGGAGAGGTGGTATTTGACTCTGGATTCAAACCATTAGCAGGGTAACCACGGGCAAGTTACTTAATCTCTCTGTGCCTCCAGTTTTTTCGTCTTCTAAGTGGACAAATTAGTAGTGACTACCTCATTAGGTTGTTTAAAGGATGAAATGAGATAATGCCTGTAAAACTTAGCATAGTGCCTGGAATATAGATTTTATTTATTTATTTTAAATTTATCTATATTGTTGAAAGTATTACAGATGTCCCCTTTGTTTTTGTGGGTTTTTTTCCCCATTGACCCCTCCACCCTCTACCTGGCCCTCCTAGGCCTTCACCTCTCTGTTGTCTGAGTTCATGGGTTATGCATATATGCATATAAGTTTCCCAGTTAATCACCCCCCCCACCCCTTCCTTCCCTTTGAAATTCGTCAGTCTGTTCCATGCTTCTATGTCTCTGGTTCTATTTTATTCATCAGTTTATTTTGTTCATTAGATTCCACATATAAGTGAGATCATATCATACTTATCTATCTCTGTCTGGTTTATTTCACTTAGCATAATGCTCTCCAGGTCCTTCCATGTTGTTGCAAATGGTAAGAGTTCTTTCTTTTTTACAGCTGTGTAGTATTCCATTGTGTAGATGTACTACAGCTTTTTTATCCACTCATCTGCTAATGGGCACTTGGGCTGTTTCCAAACCTTAGCTATTGTAAATTGTGCTGCTATGAACATAGGGGTGCATACATTCTTTCTTATTGGTGTTTCAGGTTTCTTAGTATATATTCCTAGAAGTGGGATCACTGGGTCAAATCGGAGTTCCATTTTTATTTTTTTAAGGAAACTCCATACTGTTTTTCACAGTGGCTGCACCAGTCTGCATTCCTACCAGCCGTGTACTAGGGTTCCCTTTTCTCCACATCCTCACCAACACTTGTTTGTTGATTTGTCGATGATAGCCATTCAGATAGGTGTGAAGTGATATCTCATTGGTGTTTTAATTTGCATCTCTTAGATCATTAGTGACTTTGAGCTTTTTTTCATATGCCTTTTGGCCTTCTGTATGTTCACTTTGGAGAAGTGTCTATATTGATCCTTTGCCCATTTTTAAATTGGATTGTTTGTCTTCCTTTTGTTAAGTTGTTTGAGTTTCCTCTCTATTTTAGAAATTAACCCCTTATCGGATGTATCATTGGCAATATATGTTCTCCTATGCAGTGGGCTCTTTTTTTCATTTTGTTGATGGTTTCTTTTGCTATGCAAAAGCTTTTTATTTTTATGTAGTCCCATTTGTTTATTTTCTCCTTAGTTTCCTTGGCCCTAGGAGATGTAACTGTAAACATATTGCTATGAGAAATGTCTGAGGTTTTGCTGCCTATGGTTTCTTCTAAGATTTTTATGGTTTCACGACTTACATTTAAGTCTTTTATCCATTTTGAGTTTGCTCTAGTTTACTCTTGTGTATGGTATAAGTTGTGGTCTAGTTTTATTTTTTTGCTTGCACCTGTCCAGTTTTCCCAACACCATTTATTGAAGAAACTGTCTTGACTCCATTGTATGCTCTTGCCTCCTTTGTCAAACATTACTTACTTGAGCATAATGGCTTGGGTTGATTTCTGGGGTCACTGTTCTGTTGATCCATATGCCTGTTTGTGTGCTGGTACCAGGCTGTTTTGAGTACAGTGGCTTTTTAGTATAACTTGATGTCTGGTATTGAGATTCCTCCAACTTTGTTGTTCTTTCTCAAGATTGTTGTGGCTATTTGGGGTCTTTTTTGGTTCCACATAAATTTTTGGAGTGTTTATTCTAGATCTGTGAAATATGCTGTTGGTATTTTAATAGGAATTGCCTTAAATCTGTAGATTGCTTTGGGTAGTATGGATATTTTAATGATGTTAATTCTACCAATCCATGAACACAGTATATTCTTCCACTTGTTTATATCGTCCTCTATCTCTTTTTCAGCATCCTGTAGTTTTCAGGGTACAGGTCTTTTGCCTCCTTGGTCAGGTTTATCCCTAAGTATCTTAATTTTTTTTGTTGCAATGGTATATGGGATTTTTTTTCTTTGTTTTTTTGTTTCCCTTTCTGAGAGTTCATTTAGTGATGTATAAAAATGCCATTGATTGCTGGGTGTTAATTTTGTTACCTGCTACATTGCTGAATTCATTTTTTCATAATGTTGTTGCTTTTGTTTTTGTGTTCTTTTTCTGCAGAGAGTGATAATGAACTCTCAAGTGGAACAGGTGATGTGTCTAAGGATTGTCCTGAGAAGATCCTGTATTCCTGGGGAGAATTGCTAGGAAGATGGTAAAAATTTATTTTTCTTATTGAAAATGTTTACATAATTGATGTGGAGTTAGTTAGATTTTATATTATATAATTTTGTTGTATAAAATATGTGTTCATATATCTTAATATTTAATGAATTTTTAAAAACATAAAAGTTAAAATAAAATCCACAAATACTCTTTATGTTTACCTAGGTCTTCCCCCAGTATGGTCTTATATAACTTACTTTTGAAAGACATATTTGCCTTATTATTTCTCCAGGCATAACATTGCTCAAAGCAGTCAATTTTATGCTGTATGCCAACACACATAGATAGCATTATTATAGGGTTACATTTTCTTTCTTTACTAAGACAGTTACCCAAAAAGGGGCTGTAGAGTTTAGAAATACTCATTTCACCACTGATTATAAACTACAACTCAGTCTGTTTTATTCTTTCTGACTATATTACTTTACATTTTGGGATTTTTTTTTATCTGGAACTATCAAAAAAAAAGTACTCTGTTTATATTTATTGTAAATACTCTGTTTATATTTATTATAATTAAGTTTTTTAAAAAGATAATCATGATGTCATATGCTGATAAAATAATCTTGCCAATGAAAAGATTCCTCCATATCAGTGTAGACATATGGAAAACACTATTTTTTAATTGAGTGTACATATCAGATTATATGCATGCAGGTAGTCCAGGAGAAACTACAGAAAATTAAAAAAAAGTTCAATAAAGTATAAGAACAATTAAACTACTTTTATCTTAAGAGTCAAATGAATGTTATTTATCATGATCTCCTATACATATCCTAAGAGACTCCTGAGTTAATTTGAAGATGTGTATTTATAGATCCAAGGGTTGGAAGGTTTATGACTTTTCATTATAAAATCTGGAGACTAGGTTTGTCAAATTCCTAACCAAAGTGTTGAGCCTATTATGCTTGTAAGGAGTTACCCTAAGAGGAAGAGAGGGCCTGCTGCCTCGCCTTTAAGAAAATTTGATTTATCATACATGTACAAATATAAAAAGAACACATCTCAGAATTTGTTTAGCTCATTAATTCATAGGGAACCAATAAGATATTAGAACCAATCAAAATGAGGATTTGATTTAGAGATTTGTATTCTCCACCTGACAATCCATTTGCATTGTATGAACAGGAATCACTTGAATAGCTGGGTACAAAAAACTTTTGCATTATTATCAGTTTTCTACATATTATCTTCTACCTGATGAGAGTTGTGAATTAGCCTAGCCAAAGACAAATAAATACACCCCTATGCCATTAGATAATTCTCAGAAGCTCCAGCATTCCATTGAAAGGATGTTCAGCAATCTCTTTAGTCCATAGTAAAAATTTTCCACTATTTTTCCCTATATTATATCCAGAAGTTAATTTATTCATTGTAAGCATTGTTGACCTGTCTAAATTTATTTCACATGTTTTTACTGATTTTGTTTAGTGTTATTGTCCCTATTATTTTATGATCAACAATTTTCAATTTAGAGGGCCCTGAGTTAGTGTTGAAGTAAAACTATTCATGACACTTCTTAAAGACAGGTAGACTTCATTCAAAGGGGGCGGGCTATCTTGATACAGGTATAGGGATCACTGAAGTGGGTCTTTTTTTTTATTGCTTAAAGTATTACAAAGAGTATTACATATGTCTCCTTTTTTCCCCCGCCCTTGACAATCCCCTGGCCTCCCCTACCCCCCAGTGTCTTATGTCCATTGGTTATGCTTATATGCATGCATATAAGTCCTTCAGTTGATCTCTTACCCCCCTCTTCCGCCCCCCTACCCTCCCCGGCCTTCCCGCTGCAGTTTGACAGTCTGTTTGAGGCAGCTCTGCCTCTGTATCTATTTTTGTTCATAAGTTTATAAAGGTCTTTATTATCCATGAATGAGTGAGATCATGTGGTATTTTTCCTTCATTGACTGGCTTATTTCACTTAGCATAATGCTCTCCAGCTCCATCCATGCTGTTGCAAATGGTAAGAGTTCCTTCTTTTTTACAGCAGCATAGTATTCCATCGTGTAGATGTACCACGGTTTTCTAATCCATTCATCTGCTGATGGGCACTTTGGCTGTTTCCAGATCTTAGCTATGGTGAATTGTGCTGCTATGAACATATGGGTGCACATATCCTTTCTGATTGGTGTTTCTGGTTTCTTGGGATATATTCCTAGAAGTGGGATCACAGGGTCAAATGGGAGTTTTATTTTTAGTTTTTGAGGAAAGTCCATACTGTCTTCCATAGTGGCTGCACCAGTCTGCATTCCCACCAGCAGTGCACAAGTGTTCCTTTTTCTCCACATCCTCTCCAGCACTTGTCGTTTGTGGATTTGTTGATGATGGCCATTCTGACAGGTTTGAGATGGTACCTCATTGTTGTTTTGATTTGCATCTCTCGGATGATTAGTGACTTTGAGCATGTTTTCATATGTCTCTTGGCTTTCTGAATGTCCTCTTTTGAAAGGTGTCTATTTAGATCCTTTGCCCATTTTTTGAACGGATTGTTTATCTTCCTTTTGTTAAGTTGTATGAGTTCCCTATAAATTTTGGAGATTAGGCCCTTATCAGATATGACATTGGCAAATATGTTTTCCCACGCAGTGGGCTTTCTTGTTGTTTTGTTGATGGTTTCTTTGGCTGTGCAGAAGCTTTTTATTTTGATGAAGTCCCATTTGTTCATTTTCTCTTTAGTTTCAAGTGCCCTCGGAGCTGTATCGGTGAAGAAATTGCTTCAGCATATGTCTGAGATTTTGTTGCCTTTGGATTCTTCTAGAATTTTTATGGTTTCCCGTTTTACATTTAAGTCCTTTATCCATTTTGAGTTTATTTTTGTGTATGGTGTAAGTTGGTGGTCTAGTTTCATTTTCTTGCATGTATCTGTCCAATTTTCCCAACACCATTTATTGAAGAGTCTTGCAGTGGGGGAGAAAGATTGGGCTCAACTTCAAATACAGCAAAAAAAAAAAAAAAAAAAAAGGTTGAATTTACAGCCAGGGTGCAAGGTGGAGGTCAGTGGATGGAAAATTACTAAGCAGAAACCTCAGGGGTAATGTGGGATCCTGGCTAAACTGACCTAAAAAAGGTTCTTAATGAAGACAGATCAGCATGCTCAGACATCACATGGGGGTGTGGAAGATAAGGAACCCAACTGGAAATCAAGCTTGATTAGATATGGAGGATGGGTGATTTTTTAAGGCATTCTCAATGTTTAACTCACCCTGGCACCAGAACCCCTGGTATCTGGCCCCTTTGTCCACCCATTACCCCTACTTTCCTTTTGGAACATATAGGTTCATCACTTAGAGGGCACAAAACAGATAGTCTGGGGGGTGGTGAATGCTGCTGGGATCCATTTGTCCTGCTGGTGCCCAGGACTGCATTCCTGTAGGTAAGTTCCCTGTTAAAACTCTAAATCAACAAGCTGGACTTATCTGCATCATTCTTTGGCCTCTTGGCTTCTTGGGCATTTGGGGGCATGTTGATCCAGAGCCTATGATCCACTTTCAGCTTCAGGGTCACTTCCCCCCCATCCCCTGCCACGCACACACACTTAGCCAATTTGCCATACATTTATCTCAGGAGATTCAGGTGGTTCTTTTTGTGCCTTGACATGCTGCTTAGAAATATTTAGTTAATACATTCATCTACACTAATAAAAGACAAAGATGCTAATTGACCGTACCTTTGCTACACCCCAATCCACGCCCACCAGCCAATCAGAGTGACTATATGCAAATTAACCCAACCAAGATGGCGATTGGCAGCCACGGAGCTGGAGCAAGCAGGAGGCTTGGTTGCCCGGGCAATGGAGGAAGCCAAGCTTCCCACCAGCCCTGAGCTGGCTGTGGCCTCTGCTAAAGGCAACAAAGTTTCAATTATAGAAGATAAACAAATCCCAGATTCTTGCTTCCAGCCAGCCTCCACTGGGAGCTTGGGTGGCTGGGGGTTGTAGCCAACCTGCAAACAGCCATCAGGCCCTCACCCAGGCTGGCCACACCCTTATGGGGTGAGGGTCCCCACTGGGGGGCTTAGCCAGCCTGAAAATGGCCCTCAGCCCCTCACCCAGACTGGTCAGGCACCCCAGCAGGACCTCCCACCCTGAAGGGGCTGTGGCCAGCCTGCAAATGGCCCTCAGCCCCTCACCCAGGATGGCCAGGCACCCCAGTGGGGACCCCACACTGAAGGGGCTGTGGCTAGCCTGCAAACAGCCATCAGCCCCTCACCCAGGCTGGCCAGGCACCCCAGCAGGATCCTCCACCCCCCTGTGAAGGGGCTGTGGCCAGCCTGCAAACAGCCATCAGCCCCTCACCCAGGCTGGCCACACCCTCATGGGGTGAGGGTTCCTGCTGGGGGGCTTGGCCAGCCTATAAACAGCCATCAGCCCCTCACCCAGACTGGCCAGGCACCCCAGCAGGACCCTCCCCTCCCCCCGAAGGGACTGTGGCCAGCCTGCAAACAGCCATCAGCCCCTCACCCAGGCTGGCCAGGCACACCAGGGGGGACCCCCACCCTGAAGGGGCTGTGGCCAGCCTACAAACAGCCATCAGCCCCTCACCCAGGCTGGCCAGGCACTCGTATATAATAAAAGGGTAATATGCAAATTGACCCTAACAGCAGAACGCCTGGGAATGACTGGTCACTATGACACACATTGACCACCAGGGGGCAGATGCTAAATGCAGGAGCTGCCCCCTGGTGGTCAGTGCACTCCCACAGGGGGAGCTCTGCTCAGCCACAAGCCAGGCTGACGGCTGCCAGTACAGCGGTGGTGGTGGGAGCCTCTCCCGCCTCCTCAGCAGCGCTAAGGATGTCCGACTGCAGCTTAGGCCTGCTCCCCGCTGGCTAGTGGACATCCCCCGAGGGCTCCCGGACTGCCAGAGGGATGTCTGACTGCCAGCTTAGGCCTGATCCCCCAGGGAGTGGGCCTAAGCTAGCAGGTGGTCAAATTCCTAGGGGTCCCAGACTGTGAGAGGGCACAGGCCGGGCTGAGGGACCCCCCTGAGTGCACAATTTTTTGTGCACTGGGCCTCTAGTTATAATGAGAAAGTTCATAGGGTGATTTATAAAAAAGTAAATGAGAGGAAGAAAAACCTTTTCTTGATGGTGGAATAACATGGTTCACCAATAAAGAAGATAAGATCAAGGAACATAGTCAAAGACATCACAGAGCTTAAACTCTATCACAGTGATTCCCAAAGTGGGCGCTACCGCCCCCCGGTGGGCGCTGCAGCGATCCAGGGGGGCGGTGATGGCCACAGGTGCATTTAGGGGCGATGAGTAACTGCTATTAAAATTTTAAAAAAATTAATTTCCAGGGGCTGAGTAATATTTTTTTCTGGAAAGGGGGCGGTAGGCCAAATAAGTTTGGGAACCACTGCTCTATCATTATCTAATGCTCTTCCCCCATTTCTCTTTTGACCCAGGCTTATACTTTATGTAAACTCATTAATATACTTTTCATAACAACAGCAGTTCAGCAGTGGTGAGGGGTGTATGAATGTCTTATTTTCTTGTTTTTTTCAGGCACAATAACCTTGGTGCACGACCAAAAGGACTGTTCACACTGGTGAAGAGTGGCATCCCTGAAGCTCTGAGGGCAGAGGTATGGCAGTTGTTAGCAGACTGCCATGACAACCAGGCAATGCTGGATAAATACCGACTTCTCATCACAAAGGTAGGAAGCTATTTTCATGTTATGCTCATGGACAACATTTAACTCGTAACTCCAATAATGCTTTGGACCTATTTCAACATGCTATCGATGGATTGCAGTGAATAGTTCTGCCTTTTGTTGGAACCCTTGCTGGATAGTGGAAACAATACACCATAGTCAGCTGCAAACACTTTATGCCTTGGCTTTCATTTTTCCCTGTAAGTGACTTTATAATAACTATTTACCAAATTGGAATATATTTTAAGTGAAATAAAGTAACCTTTTGTGTTGTTGTTTGAGATTTATGTACAGTTATCTTGTTCACAATATACTTGGCTTCTAGTATACTTTAAAAATCAAATTAACTTAAAATGAAATTAAAAGGCCTTCTGTGCCTAAATGACCTTGCCATTCAATGATGTGGGCAGCTGCCCACATCAGGAGCCTCTGGATTCAATGTAGATTCCTTTGCTTATGTCTAAAAGGCTGATTTTAGAACAGGGTTGGGCAAACTTTTTGACTCAAGGGCCACAATGGGTTCTTAAACTGGACCGGAGGGCCGGAACAAAAGCATGGATGGAGTGTTTGTGTGAACTAATATAAATTCAAAGTAAACATCATTACATAAAAGGGTACGGTCTTTTTTTTTTTTTTTTTTTTAGTTTTATTCATTTCAAACGGGCGGATCCGGCCCACGGGCCGTAGTTTGCCCACGGCTGTTTTAGAACATGGTAAAAGTCATCCTCAATCCTAGACTGTCTTTGTAGGTCTCACCTCCTAATTTTTTAATCTACTCTAAAATGTAGATTTTGAAATAATAGCAACTTTAAACAATTTTAATTCATAAATGTGATTTTTTTGATAACCAAGACATTGTTCCTCAGGATATATCAACTTTTATAATTCCTTAACTCCTCTAATTCCTTTTTCCCTTCCTTCCTTCTTTGCCCCCTCCCTTCCACAAATATTTTTGAGTGCCTAGGATATTCAGTCACCGCTAAATTCAGATTTTTAAACCATCTTTTATGATTAATGTTTTCTACAGTGGCATGTGCAAGGTGATCCATGGGGAGGATGTCTAAAGTTTCATTTGTATTTTTAAAAATACAAACACACAAGGATATGGAGCTGTATTGATACTTGCTATGCTGACATTTGTTGTGCTGTGGTACTGAGATCTCACTAGGTCCTTGGGCCCAGTGGCCACTTGTCCCATGTGGTTCAGGAGTGACCTGAGAGAAGAAGGGGTTTGCACACCTTGGAGCTGAATAACAGTGGTGCTGACACTCATATGTTCACTTTCAGAATATTACAGTTTTTTACAGTTTACATGTGCTTGATTACATGGATTTATAGGTTACCTAGTTTTAATTTAACCTTAACTCATAGGATGGATGAGCGCTTTGAAAAGATTGCTGTCACATGATGTTAATAGCAAGATGTTTAAAAAACACTGATCTATCCCTTCAAGTAAAAAATAATATTATGATGATGGATGACAGAGCACCTGCTGTGGAAATAAACTCATGTTATAGAGAATGGCATTTGACATATTTGGCAATTTAAATACCACTATGTGATTTTGCCACTGAAAACTACATGTGTGTTATTATAAAAACTCTTTATGTCTTCTTACTTAAAAACCTGAAATCAGGAATTTCAAATATGGTTAAATTTGTACAAATAGTTGTAGAGAATTTGGAGACTGAATGTTAAAAATATAAAAATTACAGTATAATACAGTAGTACTGGTATGTAATAAAAATAAATAGTGAAAGAAATAGACATATATTGGAAGTTTATGCTCAGAAAAGTTTTTATTGATGGGGCTATCTGAGCAAAAATGTGCAAAGACCATAATTCTGGATGTCAGATCCCTTTTTCATATAAATAACAAACTGTACTTTTAATGGCTGCTCATGGGGTAGCAGCTAGAGGCTTTGTTAATTCATACCTTTCAAGATTTCAGACTTTGGGGGAAAAATTAAAATATTATTTATGAACTCCTGACACTACAAGTATATGCTCATATATGTGATAAAAGTTTTACCATATATACCAAGCGCCACGTAAGGAACGTGCTCAAGGTCCCAAGCTAGTAAGTAAGCAGCAGAGCTTAGAATTTGAAGCCACGGTCGCCCTCCATAGTGAACACCAACCTTTCCTCCTGGATTTGACTCTCACTCTTCCCACATATTAATTTGTGATCTTGAGAAGTTATCCCAATTTTCTAAGCCTCAGTTTCATCATTTGTAAAGCAGGGATCATTACTGGGATTGTTGTGGGAATTAAATAAAATGATACAGTGCTTGGCACGTAGTAAGTATTCAAGATTAGCTTCTACTATTTTTACCAATATGATATTACATCATGAACATGATAATAGAGATAATGGCTGTGGTGTCAGTGTATACTTCTACTTCAATATGTGTGACAACTTCCAGTCACGTGATTTTCATAAGAACACATGATGTGAATAACAGCTGATGGAATGGAGAAGGAATCTTTTTAGTAGAAGCATCAAGTGTCAGATTTGTTTTTTTTGTGTGTCTTTTTTTCTGGCTGGTGTATATCATGTAATGTTTGAATTCTAAAACTTGACTTTGTAGTGATTTCACGAGTTATTATTTTAGTGGTTATGCATATTCAAGTATATCATAAAGTCCAATGATATTCTCTAAAAGTCACTCCTAATGACTGTCTGATAAAATCAAGATTGCAAGGCAGGCATTAATTTCATTCACTTATTAACACACTCATTTATTCAGTAACTTTTTTTTTCTTTTTTTTTTCTTAATATATTCCATTGATTTTTCACAGAGAGGAAGGGAGAGAGATAGAGAGAGTTAGAAACATCGATGAGAGAGAAACATCGATCAGCTGCCTCCTGCACATCCCCACTGGGGATGTGCCCGCAACCCAGATACACGCCCCTGACCGGAATCGAACCTGGGACCTTTCAGTCCGCAGGCCGACGCCCTATCCACTGAGCCAAACCGGTCTCGGCATAGTAACTCTTTTTAAAAAATTAAATCTTTATTGTTTGAACATATTACATATGTCCCCCTTCCTCCTCCTTGACCCCTTTTAACCCACCCCCAGAACTTTTATTGAGCATCTTTTATGACTGCACTCTCTGTGGTTTCTAGGGCTATGTAGATGAAAAGAGTTCATACCCTTGAGGAGTGTAGCTTTGGGGGAAGCCAGGCCTGTACACAGATAGGTCGAGTATATTCTGATATAGGGTATAATAGTTATCTTAATCATGTGTGTGGAATATAGATGAAGTAGTAACAGCTCTGCTTGGGTGAGCCAGGTGGGAATTAAATATGTCTGAGGAGTCTAGGAGAGGGAGTGCATTGTAAGGGGGCGTTTATGTAATGACTCACCTATCAGTTAGTGACTTGGTTGGATTATTCAGGGAGTCTTAGAAAGTGAAATCTTTCCTTCCCTCACTCCCACCCCAGTTATCCAACTACATTCACTGTTCACGGATCAATGCTTGTCCCTTGCTAAATGGGAAGAATGTAATACAAGTTTATTCTTTTTAGAATAAACATATGAAATGAAGAACTGCAGAAAAATATGTTGTATCAAAAAGATATCACAAGAGAATATTTATTTGATAACCTAGGATTGATGTAATAGAGTTTTATCAAGTAATATAATGTCTACTCAATAAATGTTTGAGTACCTGTTGTTTAAGTTCTGTGCTAGGATGGTGATGCATATTAATTTTTTAAATCAGTGAACTGAAAAATACCCTCTATTGGCTAAATATAAAACAGTATAAACTTGCAAAGAAGAAGGCCAAGTTTATAAACTACAGAGAGCATGTGCTCGAACCTCTATAAGAGAGCAAAAAGGGCAATAATTGCCAATATTACTTTTGCAGTTGATGCGAAAATCTTTTTGGAATATAAATAAAAAACAACCATTTTAAGATTTCTGCAAGTTCTCTGCTTTCTTGAGCTTTGTATGAACAGATAAAGCTTCCTGTGTTTATCCTAGTCAGATTATTGGTGCTGCTCAGAATAAAGCCTGTCTTCTCTCTGTCCTCCAGTGCGTTATTGTAGCAGATGGCTTTTAATAAAACATGTAGCTAAAGAAACATTTTTACTCTACTTTGTTAGAATGTACTATAATTATAGTTATGGACATTCTCAAGAGGAAATGCTTAAATTGCTATTTTTCTTATGATCGAATAACGTTAGATGCATATGTAATTGAAAAGTGGAAATATGGTGTCAGTTATGTATTTTTTTTATCTGATAAGCTTTCGCAACCAAATTAAACTCTGAACATCATTTAGTCAGGTAGATGTCTGCTTTTTCTTTACAAGGTTTATTTTTAAAAAATTCACTGCAGTATATTAATCAACCAACGCTCAACACTGGATTCATTGAGAGGCAGGGCATTGCCTAATTACACGCTGCTCTAGTCTCTGTCATCACCTCATCTAGTTGAGGAAATGAGCTTTTTGATAGAATGGGGTTATTCCAGCTGGGTCTGTACCATTGGGATGTATAAAATCCATGGACTCTTGTACTGTTGCAGCCATAAAATTTACAAAAATTTCTCCAGAAGATTTAGAGTTCTTTAAAATTTATTACTTAAAAAAATAAGGTGGGGAAGGAGAATAAAGAGCACTCACTATGTTGTAATGTAAATACCTTGGACATGTAGATATACCGGAAGTTCTTTATTAAAGGAAAGTAAGAATTATTGAAAGAGATTTTAAAAGAAAATGTACCTTTTATTTTTTCTTTTCTTCTGTAATAAGGGTGGTGGTTTTTTACCACATAATATTATTTTTTCACAGTAGAATTTTAATCAAATTTTCTCAGTCCTCATCCCTTGAGCTCTTTCATCTTCTATCATATCTATACTGACTGACACCTGCATGTAGAAACTAGAATTAAATGTGAATCTGAGAACTAAAAGTTTTCCCCCAGTACTGAACATGTTTCTGCAAAAATTTAAAAGTATATCCTTAATTATTTTCATACACTTAAGTGATA